TCCTGGAGAGGGGTGAAGTCGTCCATACGGATATACGCACAGTACTCGTACATCTGACAGTAGACCAAAGAGGTAGCATACATAGAAAATGACATTTATCAGAGAAAGATTGAATTGTAGTGGTACATCTCCAATTACATGAATTGTAATGGTACATCTTAAATAACAAAGAGTTGCAATGGTACAGATCCAAATAACCCTTGTTATTAAGCATGTGTATTTTGTTTGTACAAAATGCATGTACTGGAAGCATTCAACCATGAGTAAACAAATACATAACCAAAGAATCATTACACACAAATAATCCTAATATGATATGCAGTAAGGTATGTTTCGCATAAATTTATATGAAATATTATTTTCTTAACAATTAATTAGATATTAAAGTTGTGACCTTGGAATATGTTTGTTTGATTAGCTTTTTTGCTTCGCTTGTTGAATAATTGATTATTTAGTGAACTACATTTGTGTTTCCATCTGAATCGTGCAAAGATTCTTTCAGTGAAATATTAGACATGTTATGCATCTGAATATATTAGACATTGGGTTCTATAAAATTCATTTTTTTTTTTATCTGCATCTGAATGAATGAAGAAAATCTGGAATATAATTTATGGCATACATGATGATATGGATTCTAAAAGGCTTATCTTGGAATGTGTTTCCTTCAATGGCTTTTTTTCTCCTTTCTTGAATCTCTTATGTGTTGAACTGACTGTATATGATTTTCGCAAAGTTTTCTGTATATGAATTGATGGTTATGTTATGCAGTGGTTTATGTGATAGTAAAAATTAATAAAATATTATTCAAATTATGAGGATACATGAAATTTATGTGCCCAAAATTACAAAAAGTGCATCAGTTTTTTAAGCATTTTTCCTTTTCATTGACAAAGTTGAAGCAGGGCTACGTATATACACCTTTATATGATAAAAATTTATTTAAGCATATGTACTAAATTACCAACTGAAGCACGAATGATTGCAATGTTTCTTCTAATCCGATTATTGAATTTCTTGTTTGCCGACTCGAACTCGTTTTATCTGACGACATCTTCGTTCATTGAAGTCACTCCAATTCGGCTAATAAAAACACAAGGAATTGATTTACCGAAACTAAAATCAAATGTGAAAAAACGCAATGAATTGATATATAAGGGTTGTACACGGTTGAATTAACTGCGATCTTCAATTGATATTTTATGAATGGCCTTTGAAGAGTTTATGTGAACATAAACACACGTGAATTTATCAATGTGAGTCAGCATCTTTAATAGAGAGAATATAGGATAGTTAGCTCTATATTGGCATAAAAATCTCTTAATAGAGAATACAGGACAAATTAGGAATGGTCAATGCAAAAGAATTTTTTGAAATCTTTAATAAATTTGGAGAGAATTAGACACGATTAACATTTGAAAAAATCGCATCTAAAGATTTCAATGATTTTTTTTTTTCCATTTGGCATGTGATATTGAACCTTTTTGTAGGTGATATATTTTATTTTATGCGTGTATCTGTGCTAATTTGAGAGTGTCCCACACAAAGCGGCATTTGAAATTTTTATAAAAGAATGCACTAAAAAATGTCTAATTGAAAATTGTGTTTGAAGTGTGTTAAAAATTGGTCCATGAACACTTTTATAGTTTTTGAAAATATCAATAAGAGCCACGTGTGAGATAGTTTTCACGTATCCGAATAGGTGAGTTTTTTTTTTTTTTGCCTAAATTATGTGGTGTGTGATTTTTAGGTGGATTTGTTTCCTGTAGAACTAATACGTAGCCCGTGCGACGCACAGAATAGTAATTATAAATTTATAATTGAATGTATTAAACCAATGAACCAATATTGATCGGTATAAAAGTAATTTAAGTAATAATAATTATTTATTATTTTATTGATTGATATATAATAATTTAGTATATGATATATGTGCTTATTTTGCTTGCTATAAAATAATCGTCATTTTATAAAATGAAAGGTGAGAATATCTTGATTTATATATAAATTGAAATATAAATGGAATACTATTTGTAACATCAGTGAAGGGCATATGATTTGAAGCATTTGGTGAATTGCCCGATCTAATTGTCATCTGCCGTTAACTAACAACAGGTGATCCATTGCGGAAAATCGAAATTCATAGTATCTATATAAGTAAAATTCAAAAAAATAAAATAATAGACCAACACATTATGTAACATATTCAAATTATGTAAAGCAGCTTAAGTAAACAAATTATCGGGTCCATTAATTAAACACATAATTTTACCAAAGATATCGTCCCAATAAAACAAATAATGTAGGCCAATTCATATATATATTTTTTTAAAAAAATATATATATTTTGGCCCATTTATATAAATGAAAAAACCTGTTAATTATATTTTTTTTACTGAAACGGGCCAATTAATTAAGCACATAATGCATGCAATAAAAAGAAAATGAAGCCCAATATCTATATTACAAATGAAAGAATGTCGGCTCATTGACAAAGAATTTACCGGTTAAACTATCCCTTTAATTCAACACAAATTTATACCAGCAAATTAATTTAAGTAAAAATATTTTAATTGTTCTGCATCGAATGGTCCAGTTCAAATCAGAGATGAGGAGCACGAGATCGACCGACGACTACACAAATGTATGATTTTATTTGTTTTCATTTTTTGTTGAATCTACCATGAATTTGACTTGTAGTTTATAGATCTGTCATATTCTCTGCTCGTTCAGATCTGTGTAAGCTAATAATTTTATTTTTTTACTAATTTTGTACTGAGACTTCCGATTTTGTGATATCTTAATGTATGTTTTGTTCGATTTACGAATTCTAATAATTGCTTTTGATTTTTGATATAAGAAGGGGAATTTCACGACGAAATTGAAGGTCGGATGTCGATCTGAGGTACACCGTTCGTTAGGTTCAAATCTAAGATGATGAGAAACAACATCGATCGATGACTACACAAAGGTTCGTAATTTTCGAACTTAGTTTTTCGAATCAACCATAAATCTCACATGTACTGTATAGATCTATTTATTGTATATTGGTTCTTAATTATTATGTTCAAAGTCTGAATTTTTCTTACAATTTGATGTTGAATCGAAAGGGCAAAAAACAAATTCCGGAGTTACAACGGCCGTCCGGTTCAAATCTAAGCTGATGAGCAAGAAATTGATAGGCGTCTACTAAAGGTTCGTAAATATTTGATATGTGTTCATTTATTTTAGATCTATTGTTTATTGCATTTTGTTCGATAAGCAAATTATTCTTTCAAAAGCAAACCTTTATGCTCAAGCATTTTTTTCAAGTGAACTCGTTTTGTTTTAAAAAAAAATTGTATTTTCTTTTAGCATGCAATTCATAAATCCTTATTTAGTGTATAGAACGCAAACATGCTATAAATTGAAAACCCATGAAAATAAGGAAATATAATGTTAGACCGTATATTTCTGTAAATTCTAACCATTTTTTGTAATTGTATGTTTGTCTATGTTGAAATCTAGTTCACCTGTGGACTGAAGGATAATAAGGATAAAGAAACAAATTCTTAATCCGTAGGTAATGAGCTAAAATATTACACTAATTTTATTGTATTAGATTTAAGTTACAATACTCCATAGACACATTCAAAATTAATAATAATAATAATAATAATAATAATAATAATAATAATAATAATAATAATAATAATAATAATCATAAGGTATTGTTATTGTACTAATGAAACATTTTTATAAAATTTAGTTTTATCATTTTTATTGAAAATATTGTTATTAAGCATGTGTATTTTGTTTGTACAAAATGCATGTACTGGAAGCACTCAACCATGAGTAAACAAATACATAACCAAAGAATCATTACACACAAATAATCTTAATATGATATGCAGTAAGGTATGTTTTGCATAAATTTATATGAAATATCATTTTCTTAACAATTAATTAGATACTAAAGTTGTGACCTTGGAATATGTTTGTTTGATTAGCTTTTTTGCTTCGCTTGTTGAATAATTGATTATTTAGTGAACTACATATGTGTTTCCATCTGAATCGTGCAAAGATTCTTTCAGTGAAATATTAGACATGTTATGCATCTGAATATATTAGACATTGGGTTTTATAAAATTCATTTTTTTTTATCTGCATCTGAATGAATGAAGAAAATCTGGAATATAATTTATGGCATACATGATGATATGGATTCTAAAAGGCTTATCTTGGAATGTGTTTCCTTCAATGGCTTTTTTGCTCCTTTTGTTGAATCT